AAGTGAAATGAAATAATGGCCTAAATCCCGCATTAAAAGAGCTGGACACAGCCCTCTGATGTCGCATTTGCGACACCAGGGTCACAAATGCGACAAAAGCCTCGCAAATGCGAAGCCTGGGCTTCAGCTGTTGAGACTGCAAATGCAACCCTAGAATCGCAAATGCGACGTCTGTTGGGATCGCAAATGCGGCAAAAGTGTCGCAAATGCAAACATTTCTGGGTCGGGCTTCATCGCAATTGTGAAGCATTCATCACAAATGCGAGGTTCACATTTGCGAACAATCTCTCACATTTGCGGGACCTGCTACTGGTGCCAAGAACACCAGAAAATCTAGTGTGCTTTCAGCTCTTCCCACACGTCCGAAACTCACCCGAGCCTTCGGGGCTCCACACCGAATACTCACACAAGTCTAACAACATTATACAAACTTGCTCGCATGATTAGAACACCGAAATAACATCAAAAACTAAGAATCGCCACCCAAAACCAATGAATCAAACTTAAGAACTTCAAGTTCTTCGTTCCACTTCCAATGCGCCGAAATGACACCAAATTTTGCGTACAAGTCTTAAATTACATTACGGAATTACTCCAACTTTCGGAATCGGAATCCGAACACGATATCAAATAGTCCACCCTCGGTCAAACTTTCACAAAACTTCAAGTTCTAACTTTACGCCAAATGACTCTCAAACGACCTACGGACCTCCGAATCCACTTCTGCATGCGCTCCTAAGTACAGAATCATCATACGGAGCTATTCCCAGGCTCGGAATCCCAAATGGACGCATAGAATGTAAAAATTCAACCAAAATTTATGGAATTTGCTCAAATTGACAACTTTCTCTATTTGGCGCCGAAACGCCCCCGGTTCATCCAAAACCTCCGAACATACGCCCAAGTCCGAAATCATCATACGAACCTGCTGGAACCTTCAAATCCTGATTCTGGGGTCGTTTCCTCAAAAATCCAATCTTAGTCAATTCTTTCAACTTAAAGCTTCCAAAATGAGAATTTTCTTACTAAATCAACTCCGAACTTCTCGAAATTCAATTTTGACCACGCGTACAAGTCATAATACCCGAAGTGAAGCTGCTCATGGCCTCAAATTACTGAACGGCACGCTAGAGGTCAAACGACCGGTCAAGTTGTTACAAATAACGCATATATACTCGTCACCTCATATATACGTTGTTCTCACACATAATACACGTAGCAAATAGACCAAAAAGTCCTAATCCCTCAAGTTAAGGTTAACCATGATACTTACCTCGCTCCGTAACTAAATCAATGCACAACTGTGACTTTTTCTTTCGAATTAGCCTCCAAACCAATCAAATCTAGCCAAATGTAGTTCAAATAAGACAAAATAGGATTTAGAAACTACTCATGAGTAAAAAAGATTTAATCTTTAATGATTTTAGAAAAAGTCAACAAAAGTCAACCTCGAGCTCGCTTGGTCAAAACCCGAGATTCAGGCCAAAACCCTATTATCGATTCACCTCCAAGCCCGATCATGTGATTTCGAAATCCGACCTCAATTTGAGGTCTAAATCTCAATTTTACAAAATCCCTAATTTTCTACCATAAAATGTCCTCGATTAAAGGTTAAAATCAATGAGTGATTATTAAAAGATAAAAAAACAAGTTAAAATTTACTAACCAATGAAGTTAAGATAAAAAATCTCTTCAAAATCGCCTAGGTCGAGCTCAAACTTGAGAATGTTTAATACCTTGGCGTCAGGTGTTCTTCGCGTTCGCGAAAGAGACTGGCCAAATGGCCTACACATTCACGGTGAACCCTTCACGTTCGCGAATGCTTAAACCCCCTGGCCTTCACGTTCTCAAGCCAAGGCTCGCATTCGCATAGAGTAACTGGTTGCCTTCCCTAGAATCCCATGACTCTTCGCATTTGCGAGAGGACAATCGCGTTCGCGGAGGGTAAGCCCTCCACTGCTTTGCGTTCACGACCATGTCACCGTGTTCGCTAAGAAGAAATCCACCCCAGTTCCCCTTCGCGATCATTAGAGTAGCTTCGTAATCGAGAGAGTAGCTTTGCGATCGCGGAGCACATCACACCAGACAACAGAAAACAGCTGAAACCAGCATATTCTTAAGTCCAAAATGATCTGTAGCCTATCTGAAACTCACCCGAGCCCCTGAGGCTCCAAGCCAAACATGCACACAAGTGTAATAACATCCTAAGAACTCGCTCGCATGATCAAAATACCAAAATTGCACCTAGAACTACGAATCAGACGTCAACATGCATGAAGTTTCAAAGAAACTCAAGAACTTCTAAAATCACAACCAAGCATCCGAATCCTATCAAGCCAACTCCGATTTGCACCAAATTTTGGAGAAAAGTTTCAAATAGCAAAATGAACCTATGCCAAGTCCCCGAACTAAAATGCGAATCCAATAACCACAAAGTCAACCTACGGTGAAACCTAGAAATTTTCCAAACCTTCAAATTACTAGCTTTCAGTAAAATAAGTCAACCGAATTCAATTCTGAGCATACACCCAAGTGGGCCCATTGGGATCGTCAAAATACCAATCTGGGATCGTTTACACAAAATATTGACCGTAGTCAACTCCAGTTATTTTTAAAGCAAAAAATCATAGTTTCTTCAAATTTTCACATAAAATCTTTCCGAAAAAAGACACGAATTGCGCGTGCAAATTGAAAAATATTAAATAGAGCTAATAGAGGTTTCAGAACGTGGAAATATGGGCTAGTACTCAAAACGACCTATCGGATCGTCACAAGCGGATCCAGGATTTAAGTTTTATGGATTCAACATTTACGATTTTTAGCAATAATCCCACTATATTTTTAGTATTACGAGTTCATATATACTAAGGAAAGATTCTGGGATTAAGGCATATTTATAGCCATTTTCTGGCACTATTTTTGAAAAGTTTGCAACCTTTCAGAAACAGCCATGGCTGTTAGAATAGGCAGGAACGAAAACGTTTCCCGTTTAAAATATTTCGAGAAAATAAATTTAAAATAATTCGGAAAAGAAACGGACCGGTTCGCTTCGCTGGTTTAATCCGGGTTGACTTTTCGTTAATTAATTAAATAATTAAAAGAAATTTTATCCAAAAAGATTAATCCAAATCCAAGCGACAACGACAACGGCGCGAGGCTTACCTTCTTCCCAACCCATTTAACACCAAGGGAAGTGCTTTCTCAATATACACACATTCCTTTTTCTTTCCACCACCAATGAGGGACAATTGCTCTTTCCAAAGCATAAGGGAGCTTATTTTCCCTTTACATTTCTTCCTTCCATTTCCCATTCACCAAACTTCGATCCAAACATTTTTACATATAAAATTGTACACCAACTCAAAAGTACCGAGACTTGATACCGATGGCTACATTCGTCTCTACTTACAGCCTGTTTGGCCAAGCTTTTTTTTTTGGGTCAAAAGTGATTTTTTTGGCTGAGGTGTTTGACCAAGCTTTTGGATGGAAAAAAAATGCTTTTGGGGAGAAGCAAAAGTAGTTTTTGAGAAGCAAAAAAAGTAGCTTCTCTCCAGAAGCACTTTTGAAAAAAATACACTTAGAAGCAATTTTCAAAAGCTTGGCCAAACACTAATTACTAATCAAAAGTGTTTTTCAAATTAATTAGCCAAACACAAACTGCTTCTCACCAAAAGTACTTTTTGAAAAGTACTTTTGAAAAAAACACTTCTCAAAGTAAGCTCATTTTAGAAGCTTGGCCAAACACGCTATAATCGGAATTTTTGTTCATGTTTCAGGTCTTGTCGGAGTCTTGGCCCCTGCTGCTTGTATTTTGTTTTGAGGTTAAATCTAAACGAACAACTTATCATAAGAGGTGGTACAAACAACTTTTTTGGTGACATTCATAGACCATTTTAATGTTTTATACATCAATACCACACAAGAGGGGGGTGATTTGTATGGTGACCAATTTTTCGCTTAAACTGTTTATGGAAGAATCTGGTTCTTCTATGTGTTCCAACTACTACTGTTGCGGAATGATAAATATACAAAGTAAAGAACACAAGTATTTTTACGTGGAAAACAGCCAGCTCAAAAGGTGAAAAAAACCACGACCTACTACTCAGTAGGATTTTCCCCAATACTTCACTAAATCACTGAGCCAAAATAGCATTTACAAAACTCTTTGTAAACCTAAGGATTACCTCTAATCCCATTGTAGCAACCAGCCTCTAACTGTTGCGATAACTTCAAGTTAACTCTTACTTGAATACTCAAAGTACCTATTACAATTGCTTCTAGATAAAGCTGAAAAGTACAATATGAAAACACCTACTACAATTGAACTAGAAATAAAGAAAGACACATAAAACTCTTTATGGAGCTGGTTCTTCAATCTGGTTCATGTAGTTTCAGGTTTGCACACTTGAATTACACACGAACTGCTTGCAAAAAGCCTTGCTATTTTGCTCTCAATTCACGTTTAACTTTTGCGTTTTTATGCAACACTTGTAATGTGAGAACATCCTGCAATTTATAGAGTTAGTAGATGAAGAAATAACTGGAGTTCTGATGCAACTCTTCCTTGGTGGAAGAGTTCAAGTTGATTTCAACTTCTAACTCCTTCCCTATCTTGGATAGTGTTCTCTTGGATTAAGGAGTCCTTCTCCTTATCAATTATGCAACCTTTTCGATCAAGAGATATTAAATACATCAAGTTAAGCTTATCTCCTTCACGTGCAACCCACATGCTCAAATCTGCCCGTTTTTGTGCACCTGAGGGATGAACCTGGTTCATCCTGAGTTTCTTTTTCAGTCTTCAAAACTAACCTTTACTTGGGCCAGCACATTTTTTATTCACTTTCACACATATAGGCCCCATTACATTTCTCTTGTAACTAAAAAAAAAACATGCTAAAATATCATAAATCTGCTAGGTGTTGTTTGTCTTTTCCTTGAAACACAACTTTAAATGAATCAAATATGATGGAAGAGCCCAAAGATTATTTGTCATTGGTTGATCAATCCAAAATACTGAAATTTTCCACACTGAAAGTCTCGTTGAGGACAGTGTCATCCCATTCCCATGAATCATTCTCTTGTGTCCTTTCAACAAAATATTGATTGTTTTCCATGATATTCGCCTGATAATCACAAAACATCTTAAGTGAGTATTTAATTATCTGAATAGTATAGCACAATGAATTCAAAATCAAATAAAGGCAGTCAAATTAATCAATAATAATAATAATAATAATAATAATAATAATAATAATAATGATGATGATAATGATGACAACGATGATGATCATAATAATAATAATAATAATATGAGCTGACCTCCAAAGCATAGCTACATCCATTAAGACCTCTTGCATCACTCTGAACTGAAGAATAATCATCATTATTCTGAATGATGTGATTGTTGTTATGACTTGAAACGTTTATATTGCTTGGATATTGCAGTGTATTCCAATTTGTATGGGGATAATCCAACTCTAATTGAGAGGAATTATTTAATTGAGTACTCATGGTGGAGAGTGGACCGGAGATAGGCCTGAGAAAAAAAAGAGATTAGCAATCATATAACAAGAACAACGACTACATAAACTTCGAGAAATAAAATATTCTGTCTTTTATATGATATTATTACTCTTTTAACAACTTCTCTCTGATAATAATTTTGACTTCATATTGAGTTTAAATGTATTGATCATTATACTTGGAATGTGATCATTCTTTTGGAAATGGATGAAGCATATTATATATCTTGCAAATAATAATTAAATGCATAACGTGTTTGATCGACATATTTTGTCCCATCAAGTTTATCGACAAAAACCTTGTAGAATTGCAAAGATTGTTCCAAAAGTTCATGATAGAGCTGCTACTACTTTCACCAAAAGTCACTTGTGCCTGCAAAATGAATTTAATTATCACAACCCCGGCCCTTTACATGAATAAAAAGGGGCAAACTTAAAAAGGAATAATATGTTCAAGAATACTAATTGTACCTCTGATTGACCAAATGCTTGTGTTGGATTCTGTTGCACATCTACTACCATGTTTTGTTGCTCGCTCTATTGTGCAAAAATATTAATAAAAAGGTCAAATAAAATATCCCGTTCTTTTTAAGGAAATCTTGATTACTGCATTTTAAAAAGTGTACCTGTGCTGAGATATAAGGCGATGAGTTTTGAATTTGAGGAAATGATATATTTCCGCACTGTGAAGAACTTGCAAAGGGAACGTTATATGCGTAATTGCTTGAATTTCCTGCCACTCTCTTTCCTCTGTCTGTCAAATCTTGAAATTGGAATATGTTCCCTTGAATACTTGCACTGTAATAATAACGACAATAAAAAAAACAATAATAATATAAGCAGAGACGAACAAGGATGACTATTTACACAACTCAACTTAAAAGGAAAAAGAAGAGTATATATATATATATATATAATGGTTAAAAAAGACCTGTATGGATTAATCCAAGTATCAAGCTGCTGTGGATCTGTTTCTTGTGCAGCAAATTGAAATGGTATAGTGTCCATCTTGCCTTGTTTCTCCAATTCCATCTGATCAAAATTCATCTGATAATAATCAGAAATTTGTTGAATATAGAAATTAATATGACGAATAATCCTTAACAAAAATATATAATTTTATTGTGAAAGAACAGACTTTTCTAGCCATGACTTTTTGCAGAGATTGTTGCAAGTTTCTCTCACACCAATAAAGTTGATGAAGAGAAGGCTCTTGGTCTACTCCAGGTTCGTAATCCCTGAATAATTTTAATAATAAAGAAATTAAACCATGTCTATTATATTGCATAAAATAAATAGTGAAAAGTAAAATAAAATGGAAAGCAATGATGTTATAAGAAGAATTAACCAAAAGGAAAACACTTGTGACGTTAAAGCAAATTAAATAACCTTATATTGGCATCCAAAATCTGCATTTCCAATGTGCTCTTCTTGATTTGTAGCTCCAAATTCTGCACCAAAGTAATTTTAAGTTAGAAGTGAAGCAATTTAATTATCGATCAATTTTAAGCTTCAGGAATGGAGTTGTGCCAACCTCAATCCTGTACCAGCAACAGGTTGAAACATCCAAGGAGCCATGGATCAATGAGAAACTTTCATTAGTGAGAACCAATTTCACTTGATAAAAAAGAACTCAAGTTTGTACTAGTTAGTTAGTAATTAGAAATGGCAAAGTAACCTATTAGTAATTTACTTAACTCGTTTAAAATTAAAGGGGTTGGGTTATGAGTTATGACTCGTTTGTTGACCGGATCCGACGAGTTAAACTTGAAATGATCTTTCAAACTATTAGATAAGAATGGGTTAACATAGTTATACCGATGAGTCAACATGCAATTCAAATCCAAACATAAATTTGGAGGTTGGGAATTATGTAAATTCAAAAGAACTTAAGCTAGGAGTGCTATTTTTTTTTTTTTATTTACTGTTTAAGTTGGCCAAACTTGTCCATTTATCACCTCTGGTACTAGTAAGTGAAAGATTATTCATTGACTTTCTTTTTATGACAAAAGTTTATGGGGTAGTATATGTCACGATAAGAGGGTAATAAATACTTCAGTTTTTCGTATCATAAAGGAGTAAACATGCAATTCACACATCTGTGATCTGTCTATCTACTTAATTTGCAGGAGTGCCTTTTTTTTTTTTTTTTCTTTAAAACAATCAAGAGAGAGCTAGGATTGGGAGGTTGGAGTGGAAGAACAAAAGGCCCAAAAAAACTCGAGCAGATGTTAAGAAAATATTATACAACACTTTTCCATTTTCTACCCCTCCCCTATATATAATTCAGAAAAGAAAAATGAGAAAAGACTAATGTGACACTATTCCAAAGTATAAGGGCTGGTCTACATTTTCAATTCCCCCCCTTCATAATAGATGTTTGTCATGCTTTGGCTGACTTTCGGTTCAAAATTGGAGTAGTTACTTATTTTGTTGGTGTTTGGATAGGATTTTTTTTACAGTAACAAATAAATCCGATCAAGGGGAGTGTTAATCTTCCTGCGGTAAAAAATATAAGTAAGTTACTTTCCATTCTATTTACTAACCATGTTTATCAAAAATAATTGTTTCAAAATACTTGTCATTCTAAAAACTAAGAAAGAATTAATTATTATTTTTTTCAATTTAAACTTTAGCATGATAAGGTGTGCATTAATTGGAGAGAAAATGATATAATGAAATTTTCAAAAACTAGTGTCAATCAATTAGCCAAATAACTTTTATTATTACTGCTCTCTCAAATGCATTGGAGAAATTATAGATGATTTGATTGTATACATGTGTAATCAAAATAAGCTCTCTCTAAGTAAAGCAAATTTTCATGGACACCATAAGTTTTGCAATTCAAATAGAGCAAAGATCAGTTTAACCGGTGAATGAAATTATCTATATTCAGTAGCCGAAAAATTATATAAAATTTATTTATTTATTATATATATATAATTTTAACTAGTATTTTATGAGCGGCTATACACTATTATTTTCCCATTCAATAAGGCGTGACAGAACATTTTTGCAAGTTAAGAAAATGAATAAAATATATACTAAGGTGAGACAAGAAATTAATCTCTCTTTTTTTAATGACACAAGAAATTAATCAAGTGGAAGAGAATGGAAAGAGAAACAAACTGTTTTTCAAGAAAGTGAATCTTGCTAACATCTCCCTTGATATGGTTCAAGTGCCTCAGTTTTTCCACCTTTTCCTTCATTTATGTACAGAAAGAAAAAAAGGAAAACAGAAATTAATAAATAAGTAAGTGGTGAGCAGTATTGATCCCAATAATTAAATTTTCTTAGTAGTCTCTATCACGAATTATGCTATTTTTGACTTTCAAAAGTTATACTTGTGTTCGTTAACCAATTAAAAAACTGTTTAAATATCATTTAGTATTTTGTATATGATTGCATTGTAAAAGCATTTTCAGGGTCTTTTAGTTATTAATTTTTCATTTCAAAAACACTTAATTTCTTACTCATTTTAAAATTAGTTAAATTGATTTACATTAACGGAAACAAGAAATATTCTTTAGAAAATTGAAAATGCTGCAAATAAATATAGAGGATTCTGGCGTACAGATAAATATATACAAGACTAAAGGAGTACCTGAACATCCGCTATGTGGCTAAGAAAAAAAGAAGAAGAAAATAATCATAAGTTAGTACAAATAAGTAACTAAATAGCTATGAAATGATTGTCAACTCAAGAAAATTTAGGAGAAGTTCATATACGTCAATCTCCTTTCAACTGGAAGATTAATATAGCGATGAATCATGTCTTCAATACTACAAAGGAAAAAATTAAAAGAAAATAATCAAATAACAATAGAATAAATCAATAACTAACATAACGGAATGTCCGTACAAAATTATTTAGGATCTTAATTGTGCTACCTTTTTTGACTACAGAATTTGCTTATTCGACCAGAAGGAGAGAATGCGACAAAAAACACATCAACATCACAACAAACAGCAATTTCTTCCGCCTTCTTAATTAAACTACTACGTCGCTTGGAGAATGTGACTTGACGTTTTGTTATCTCTTCTATTTTCTTCATCTCAATTTTTCGACCCATTTTCTTATGTGAAGAGAAGGATTATAGTCTCTTCTCTCCCTTGGAAGAATTCTGAGTAGAGTTGACTGAAAGAAGAAGCTGAAGGAGCAAATTTATAAGATCAAAAAGCTATTTGGGTTAAATATGAAATAAATGGAAAGTTTGGTCAACCTCGTCCACACACGCTCGAGGCGAAACCACACGACTTTTTATTAAATGCTAAACTATCATGACGGATTTGACATATATAAATTATCACATTTAAGTATGGATTTTATCTAATTTATTATACTTTTGAAGAAAAAAAAATCAAAGTGACTTTCATTGACTACATTAAATCATTAGATTATCCTTACATTTACGTATATCAACTGCCCCTAGCTCATCTACCTTTTGTCCTTTTTCCTTTTTATTTTACCTTTTCTAGGTATACCAGTGAATACAATTATTTTTTCTTGTTTGGATGAATGCCCATTGAACTTAAACCGTACAACAATAGTTTACTTACATAAAAGGTGTTCGGATATGCTTATAAGTTAGTTAGATCATTTTATAAATATTGTTTAGTTTATTTACGCGATCGATAAATATCAAAGTGTTGATAACTCAAAAGCTTATCAGCCAAATTGAGCAAAAATTCATAAGTTGATCACTCACAACTTATGATTTTTACCTGATTATATGCACTTTTGGTTTGACTAATTTTTACTCTTTTATTTGTAATTCTTTTGTAATCTCTAAAGTACTCTTCCAAAAATAAAATATCTAACTCGTTCTCCATTTCACTTTCGCCATTTGTCCTTTTCCTTGTAAACTACTTTAAATTTGTATTCACATTTACTGGTTTTATGAACATTTCAGTAATTTTAATAGAAAAGGTGTTTATCATCACTAAATTACCAAACACATCAATTGGTTATTATTAGTTTTCCTTTTAATTTATTCAAGTACATTGTTGATTATTCACATAATTACTTTCACTATTTAAGAGTATTAATTTTCAGTATTTGATACTTACCAATTGCTATCAGCTAGCTAAGCTAAATGTTCTCATAATACTTCCTCTAAAGGTTTAACATACTCTCATTATCATCCATATTCAGTTCCATATGCAATCTACTCAAAGACTTGGTTTTGAAATTCTTGAATTCAACTACTCATATTTTATATATTTAATTTAAGTTTTAACTTCATATAGGTCTAGAATATATTTTCATTTGATTTACTATTTTTGTGAGCTAGAGAAAATATTTGTCTACCATTAGTTGTATAAGATTTTCAAAATTGTTTAGAATAACATGTGCAACTCTTCCCATAGTCTTAAGCTTTTATATTGAATGCTAGATTTTTTTCACATTGTATCACAGCCTAACTTTCTTAAGCTTGTTTTTTTACTAAATTCTCCTACATGTTCTGTCACTCTAGACTTCTCTCTGTCAACTTAACCCATCGAACCGTTTTGGCTTCTCTTCGTCAATACAAACCATTACTCTTTTAATTGTGCTACAAATACAAAATGTCCAAAAAAAATTCACATCAACTTCCACTTTAATACCCAAAAAAAAATTCTGAAGTCAATCTATTAAGAGAGTCAACACTCAGTGGTTCAAAAATCTTGATGTCAAATGCTCAAATTTAATATATTTAACTTTATATTAGTAGTAATCTTCATTCAATTTGCTATTTCTCTCGTACCAAAAAATTGTTATTGTTTATTATTCCTTTTTAAGGTTCCGAAGGTATTATATTGAATGCTCAGATTCTTTCATATAATATTAGTCTATCAGAGCCTAATTTTGCTAAGATTGTTCTCACGATCTTTATATCTACATCCATGTTCTCTCGCTCAGATTAAACAAATAAATTGCTTTAGTTTTTTTTTCTTCAGTTCAGTGTATACGGTTAAAATCGGGCTTGTCCGATTTTGCTATTTAATCGAGACCAGGGGATCACGTCGGAGATCGGCCTCATAATGGATCAGGCCAGAGTAAGAACACAAGGTGTCAAGTTCAAGAATCGGGGTGCCCATCGAGATCGAGGCCGACAGCGATCGGGACTCAGTATGACCGACTTCGAGTGAAGTGCAATAACGGAAAGACGGGATATCCGTAATTGGTCGGAATCACGGTGGAAATCTCGAAACAGATCAAATCAAGGGTAGTTATTCATACCTATCATGGGATTTATTTCCATAATAGAATTGTACTATAATTAGGATTCCTCTAATATATAAAGGGGAGTCCCCATTATTTATAAGGACTTGACATTCACACATATCAAATCAATATAATATTCTCTCTTTAACTCACGTTCTCTTGTTTATCGATTTGCTTTTTTTTAACTGTTCTTGCTCTACTAGCTCGAGGGTATTCCAACTCGAGGACTTTGTTTAAACACTGGTTCGCTCTACATTATTATCAATTTCTATTGCTTATCTTCACGTTTCTCAATTGATATTAAGTGAAATCACGTATCCTTAAAACCACATTACAAGTTTAATTGTTACTCAATTTTTGGGGTAAACAGTTTGGTGCCCACCGTGGGAATAAGGATAATAGTGATTTCTTAATATTTTAACCTTCATAACACACGCTGCTTTTACGCTTGTTCTCATAAGTGTTTTTGATTTCAGGAATCAACATGTCGAACTCTCAAGCAGTACCCACTCACACAAATACCGGCCTTGGTCTTTATGGCGAGAACGAGCACATGGCCGCCCCGGGAAATGGAGTACCTCCAATCAATCCCGATGTACCACAGGTCGTAGATCCAGTCGATGCCAGTTCTCACGTCGCCATTCGTGGAGATTTAGGTGCCGACCCTAAGAATAGCGTCCGCAGAGATGCTCGGGCAGCCGATCAGAATGCACAGAGTGATGAAAAGGCGGGATTAGACTTCGAATGATATTTGACATGTTACAAACTTAGCAGGCTGAGATAGCGCAACTCCAAAATCAGAGTCGAGCACCAAGCAGAATCAAACTCGATACGTCACAAGAAGTTGTTCATAGGGTCGAACCTATATAGGAAAAGTTGAATGATAATGGATCGGGAACTTATCCGCCATCATGAAGATGCTCGAGGAGCTCACTAAATGGATTGAATCAGGAAAAAAGAAAATTGAGGCTAATGATAAAAAGTATAAATGTACAACTCAAGGGTTGATCAAATACCGGGGGCACCCCTGATTTTGAAGGGTTTGGATTCGAAAAAGTTCGTATAGAAGCCTTTTCCTCCAAGTGCGGCTCCAAAGCTCATTCCGAAGAAATTACGCATGCCAGAAATTCTCAAGTACAACGGAACCACTTATCATAATGAGCATGTCACTTCTTATACATTCTCAATAAAGGGAAATGACTTAGAAGATGATGAGATTGAATCTTTTCTGTTGAAGAAATTTAGAGAAACTTTATCGGAGAGGGCAATGATATGGTACCACAATTTGCCGCCCAATTCCATCAATTCTTTCGCCATACTTGCTATTCGTTCGTAAAGGCACATGCCGAAGAGATAAAGGTCGCAATTAGGAAGCCGGACCTCTTCAAAGTGAGACAAAAGGACAATGAAATGCTAAGGGATGTTGTATCTCAATTTCAGATGGAACGCCTGGACCTACCCCCGGTTACCGATGATTGGGCTATCCAAGCCTTTACTCAGGGTTTGAACGAGTGAAGTTCGGTAGCGTCACGTCAACTAAATGAATATCCAGCGGTGGCCTAGGCTGATGTGCATAATCGATACCAATCAAAGATCAGAGTCAAGGATGATCGAAGATATCGGGAAATTCTTCAACGCAAAGACCTCAGGTTTTAAAGCACGCATTGTATTCTTTATCCTTTAGATCAGTTTTGTCCCAAATGGATTTTTCCGGCGAGGTTTTTAATGAGGAAACAATTATTTGTGCTACCTGGGGACAATTCAACAGTATCCAAGGCTTCTTTAAAATCAACCTCGAATACTGGGGGCATCACCCTTGGATGTTATGTTTTCAAGGAAGATGTTTCGTGTCTTTATAAAGACCACTCGGGGTCTTACACAAAAAATCCAAAAAAGAAAAAAAATTCTAAGTGCCTAATCTTCCCCAGGAGCTTCATCTTCATCTTCTCTGCTCTCGGAATTGCTCACGCTCTCGGAGTCATCATCATCAGAGAGCAAAGCTTTGGCTTCTACCTCTAGCACTTTCGCGTTCTCGATATCGACAGTAAGGTCAAAACCATAAACATAAATCTCTTCGAGAGTTTCTCTCAAAGACTGGAACTTGGTGTGATCGGCAATGTAGAACGATCAAACCTGAGCAACATCGGAATTTCCTTTGCCCGAGCGTGAGCGGCTTCAGCATCAGCTCAGTAGACGGCCATGACCGCCTCCATGTTGGCCTTTAATCTTTCTGCCTTAGATATGGCCTTTGCAAGCTCAGCGGCCAACCAAACCTCGAGCTCTTCAATTTTCTTGGCTTGGGCCAAAATCCTCTCATTCATGCTTTGGAGTTGACTTTCGGCCGAAGATAGCTGGGCTCGAGCAGTGTCTTTCTCCGAGGCAAGGCGGTCCATGTTTTGCTTCCACCCCAAGGTCTCTACCTCCTTCATCTTGGCCTTCTCGCGAAGTTGCTCGATCTTTTCGGCCTTTTGCTGAACCTACAATATTGAAGTGTTAGTCATCGTCTTCGTATTAATAAAACGAGCTTCCAAAAAATAGCATTACCTGCTCAATCAAGTCGGTTTTCCCTTTATGAGCTGTTGCCAATTCAGCTCTAAGGCCCTTGACCTATTCTTCGTTCTGCTCAATAAGGAGTTTTAGGGCATCTCTCTCCTCCGTAAGCTTTTTGAGATCGGCCTCACATCGGTCCAGCTCTGCTCGGGATTTAGAAAATACTTCCTGATGGAGCGTCAAAGCCTATGAAAAAAGAAAGGAAATTAGACAAGAAGAAATAAAGACAAAGATATTATTAACAAAGGGAGCTAAGGCTTAACTGACTCAAGAGTCGATAGGCCTCGTCAAAGATGCTCGATGCATCGCCTAGAT